AATAATCTAATAATATGGTCCTTCACAGAACACATACGAAGTATACTTCACTTCTCATAAAAAATAGTACTTGCCTAGTGGGTATTACAAATTTCATATCCAATAATTAATTTATGTGTCCACRCTCTTTATTTCAAAAATATTTCTTTTACATAATTTGTTGATGTCTTTTCAAACTAACATTTCTAATTGAGAAATCCTCCTTCCCCTAAGACCGAGATATTCATGTGTAAATATTTTCATAAATCGTAAATTATTAAACAAGAAAACTCGGTTTACGATGTGTACCTTTACCCGGTATTACGAATTTTTACGGTTCCCGTTTATATAAAAATTCATTAAAARYCKTAAAACCGCATGCTATCGTTTTGAAATTTTCAATGTTGTTTGAAAATGTTGTGATCTATAAGCAATTTAAGCTAAGGTAGTTTCATCTACAAAGGTCAAAAACCCAGAAGGCTGTACTCATTGAGCGCCTGAGAGGACGGGTGGAGTTTCATAGATTATATGGAATCACCMTGCAGTTATACAAATTTCGCTTTTATAAATTAATTAAAAATCGTAGAATAACGCTATAGATTTGTTGATACCTTCACAGTTTGATTAGGCATGCTTTGGACTATCAGCCCTAACAATTTTATTTTATGTTTAACACTTGAGAAGCCCTCGGTACAATTGAAGACGGCTCGAGTTTAAGAAATCATCTGGCATTTTTATAGATAAATATATTTGTTTCAATACAATATAAAAATTTAGTGCCCTTAATTGAAACTTATATGCATGTTTAGATTGATAATGACTCGTTAGAAATGTATGCAAACTTTCAAGAAGATTTTAKTGAATTTGATATAAATGAAGTAATAGTTCAAGTGAGACTATTAACTATTACAAAATTAGTATATTTATGTATCATTCAACATTTCTAATAATATATATTTTTTTAGGAAAATAATAATAAAGAAAATGAGTTTGGTAATATTATGAGGGGACGTAATATTGAAAATATTGTACATACAACCTATAATACTTTAGGAAGTACAAATCAAATACAATGTTTACGCTGTACAAATACTTTTACCAGTGGTGAGCATTATTATAATATGAATTTTTCCTAGTTACAGTCTTTTACTATTTTACAATTTCTTACTACTTATATAACTTATTAATAATTATTGCAACATTATTTGTTTTTATTATATAGGTACAGAATTAAGACGCCATATTCTGTTAAATCATAATTTAAAAGACTTAGATTGTCATCAYTGTTTTCGTCGCTGTTCTAATTTGTTGGAATTTGAAAACCATGTAAAATTACATTTTAAAGCTCAACATCCATACTACCCATGTGATTTATGTATGATCAGCTTCAACAATTTGGCAAATCTTATACTTCACATCAAGACACATGACATACCACATTCTAAAGAATGGGCACTTATTTACAACCTATCTGATAAATCAACATTTTTTGGTTGCCAATACTGTAATAAGACTTTTGTACATGAAGCATCTAGGCAAATCCATGAACGTATTCATTTTACATGCTTAATATGTGAGACATGCGGTAAGCAATTGCCAAATAAATCTCAGTTGAGTGTACATCAGCGTCAACATACTGGGGAAAGGCCTTATCAGTGTATGAATTGTGGTGCTTCGTTTAAATGCTTGTCAACATTACGCCAACATGAAGTTGTTCACTACGAAAAAAAATACAGCTGTGAAGTCTGTTTACGTAAGTTTAGCAGACCAGAGAAGGTGCGTATACATATGAGAGTGCACACAGGAGAAAAGCCCTACAACTGTTTGGTATGCAATAAAAAATATCAACAGAAAAATGATTTAAATCGTCATGTAAAAAAGAAACACGAGGAGAATTACGTTATGAATAATATCAGACTAAACTTGTTTTAAAAATTTAATTGATTCAATATTTAAAATAATCATATTATTGATTAAAAATATTCCCATATATTTTTAATAATGTACATTAACAAATATTTTTATTTTTACTCTAGCTAATTAATGTTCTTTCAATCATTTATTAATTATTACATTAGCAATTCAATTAATTTTAATACCTTTCATATACACATAATTTATTTATCTAAATAGACTGAATAAACTAAAAATTTAGATGTATATTTTTTAAGATCATTGTTTCATTTAAAAATGACATCTCTGGTCAAATACATTTATATTTTCATTAAAATTAATCTAAATTATATTTTTTTGTGGTTTTTAATTTCCTCCTAGAACTTTCATTAAGTGCTTGCATACTTTTTGGATTTGAATTCAATACCAGATCAACAAAAGCCATTGCTAACATAAGACCATTGGACATAAGTTCTCTTATAATTGGCTCTTTAACCGATCTATAAGTTAAAATAGCATCAATTGTTGGAACAACAGGAGTAATATATTCAGGAAAGATGCCTTTTAACATCAATTCAGTTATATCTTGTGATGAAATGATTTCTGTACCAACAATAATTCGAAATAGTCTGGCGTGTAAACGCGCCTTCATTAGTAGCACTTTGTTCATAGATTCTTCTAAAATATTTAAAAAAAAATTGTGAAACACTGTTGTAGAACAATAACTATTGGTAAATATTTACGAGTATTGCCTGGAGTATTAACAGGAGTATTAACAGGATGAGTGCTGTTGATAAGAGCAATTAACATTGCTAGTGTTTGCAGTTTAACATAAAATAAATTGGCACCAGCAACATTCACATTGTTTGGCATTTTTATATAGTTCTCAATTAGGTAAATATCACTTTCAGGTAAATCTTTCATGAGTGCAGCAACCTGAGTATAAACAATTTATATAATAGAAATAATAAATACATAAAATATTGCTTACAGAATTATAGACATCATCTAAATTAAATTTGTTCATTTCTTCTGGCATGTAAAGCATCTTCCAATCTTTAAGAATATTACCCTCTCTGAGTATAGTGGTACAACTTAAATATCGACCAGACATTTGTAAAGAAACAATTTTTTTAATAGACTAAAAACAGTTATCTGATTAGATGCAATACTAGAAATACAGTTTATTAAAATTACCTCTCGCCTTACTTCTGAAAGTAAAGGCACGTAATAATTGACATTCCGAWTATGTTTTCGTTTCATTTTACTAACTTCAATCGCTTCACTAAAACAGCGCATCAAGCACAACGGTGGACCTCCAAAAGATTTCAATATCACTAACATAAAAATGATAAACCATAAGGCACATTATAACATTCCAGATAATTTCAAGTATATAAAAAAAATGACTTAACAAGCAATTGGTTATTATTATTATTAAAAATTTTATTTAAGTCTATAAAAAATTAAGCACATTGCTTGCAAAAACTAACTGTAAATTATTTTAACATGAGTAACAAAAACAAAATTAATGACTGAGGACATATCGTCCTTTGAGTATTCTGCGCTGCAGTACTCTACGTCCCTCTTTTGTCGCCATTCTTGTCCACCAACCATGTTTTTTAATACGTTTTGCTTCGTTGGGTCGAGGAAAATGATGACGAGTTTTTGAGCGAACTAAGTCGATAGACCATGAGTTTATTGCTGACGGTGTCAAAAAACTGGATGGTGTAGACCCATGAGAAGTGATTCCGACAACTTTTCTGGAATAAAAAGATAATGATCGTAAAAAATAAACAAACGGTTGATGAAACAGTTCCATTAATTATTTGAACAACTTACTGGAAAGTGCAACGTAGAATTTGACCTAAAACCATTTTGAATGATTYCCAAAGGACGTATGGGAAATTGATGAGTTATAATCAGAATTAAGCTTACTTGTTTAGCTGATTTAAATTTTAAATTGAAAAAATTGAAACGGCTCCGACGATCAACTTATTCAGTATTCTGTAAGCACTATATAAATATAAGCAAGAAATTAATAATTATGTATGGAAAGTTAGTGATAATATTAGCACATGAAAATACATAATATCGAGGCACCATTTTATATACACCRTGTTGATAAAACATTGAGATATGCGAGATAGTACTCAGTTCATAACCAAGATAGCGCTATATGATATATTTTGTAAAATTGTAAATTATTTTTATATCTAAAAATACTCATAACTCGGTTTAAAATTAAAATATRATAAAAAGCCCATGAGATGCCCTCGGTAATAATCTTGCCTTTAATTTTTATAATAGGTCAATTCACTCTAAATTTTAAATTGAAGGAGATAAACGGGATTTGCTGAGCGTAAAATTACMTAATTAAACCTACGCACTTGYACGACGAAGACAACACACGCGGGTGTGGCGTCCTCTTAAATAATTATAGTTACTTAAATTGTCATACTTGTTATTTCAAAAATTACCGGTTGGCGGCAAACAATGTTTAGATCTTCTGCATCCCTAGCTATTGATTTAAAATTATAATGTATAGCCTTAGATAATACAT